GACCCCTTCAATAACCCCAATCTCAACCTCCCCCCCCCAAACCCCATCCCTTGCCAGGTCATCCTGGGGCTGCGGTACGACCAGAAGATCGACATCTGGTCACTGGGCTGCATACTAGCGGAGCTGGCCACGGGCTACGTGCTGTTCCAGGTGGGAGGGAGGAGCTATTTGTTAGGAGTTGTATAGTGTGTGTGTGTGTGCAAATGTCAAATTCTGTGTGCATCTGGGAGAGTTTGTCGTTGGTGTCACAGCATGTGTGTGAGCGTGTGTGTATATGCGTGTGTGTGAGTGTGTCTGTCAGAAGCTGAGAGAGTGCAAGTAGGTGGCACAGCAAGGGTTCGATTGCGGCTTGGGGCCCGCTGTGCCACCATCACGGAAGGGTCACCCCGCTGGCACTGCTTAGCTTGCTGCGCGCCTGTCTTGGGACGCGCTGTTCAAGCACCGCAGCGCCCACCCCGACATCCTGGCTGTCACCCCCACAATCGCTGGCAGTGCTTGTGACTTGTGTTGTTGCTTCCCCTCCCAACACACACACACACACACACACACAATCATATGGTTGAAACGCAGAACGACAGCCTGGCCACCCTCTTGGCGCGGCTGGAGGGCATCCTGGGGCCCCTGCCAGGCTTCATGGTCGGCCAGGGCAGGTACAGCCACAGGTGAGGCAGGCCCCAGGTGCAGGGCATCCATAATATGCCACTCCCCGTGCGGCGTCACTGCTGACCCCATGCGTACGCGCGCCCTCGCTGTAGGTCGGATATGAGCGGGCGGTGTCCTGCTGCCCCGGCTCATCTTGCACCGATCTCAGTATGAATCCTCTGCCCCTGGTGCTGTCACGAAATCCCAGCCACCTCAAAACAGGGGAGGAGCCACTGTGCGCCCACGTCCCTACATTATTGCCCCCACTCCGCCCCGGCTGCAGGTTCTACACGCGGTCCCGCCAGCTGTACGAGGCCAACAAGCGGACGCGGAGGTGCGCGGCCCGGCGCGACACCCGCGCCTGGCGGGTCGCGAGGGCGGGGGCGACCCCTCCTGCCCCCCTTTCTACGCACGCCCCATTCAACATCCGTGCGCCTCGCGAACCCATCCAACCCCTCCTCTCC